TAGCCCTTTAGTTGACTCCAGGCTTCACAGGGGGGAAGGAACATCAAAGTGAAAAAGTCGAAAGGGGGGGGGGGGGGGGGGGGGGAAGAGAAGAGTGTTTCAAAGATGTAAGAGACAAACACAAAGGTAGAACAAAGGTGAGGTGAGTACTGTAAAAATATTCGAATATGGCATAGAGTGAGGTGGTGGTAGGTTGAAGTGAGAAATCAACTGCCAGTCAATAGCCTTTTTTGCCGTATGAATATACGTTGCCCAGGGTGCACCACGTGGAGGTAAGTCTATCGCACATCCCGTATTATCAACATAAACGGAGGAGAATCCCAAGATGGTGGGGGCGGGCATGAAGGGGAAGATAAGTTCAGAACAGGTGACAAGTAGAAAGCCAAGGTGTCGGTCGTATAATGCAATAACTTTAATAGATAAATTGTTGTTTCAGAAAAATAGTCCACTTTATCCTTTGCATGGTATTTCTTGAACAAACACGTCTTTACCTCGTCTTATAGAAGTTGTTCCCTCGTTGTCTTTTAATTCGAAATAAAGCAAAATTGAGATATTTAGCCTTTCAATGCCAGTAATGCAAGTAAATGCCTTTGCAATGAGCATTTAGGAAGAACCATTTCCTATGACTTAAGAATTGTGCATAGGATATTCCGGACATGGTGTCTACTACTTGTTTTGTGAAGTATAAAATTTGGGAAGTACTAATTCAGTGTCGAGTCATTCCGTCACCATTAGCAGTAAAAGGGCTTTTATTAGCACAATGACCTATCCCGTCTAGACCTTCTTTTATGATAAATGTATCATGTGACTATATCTTGGCCTTGTAGACACGTGAGTCAACACCCGACTCTTTGTCCATTTGGTTTGAGTCTTAGTGGACTTAAGAGTGAAACGATAGGCTCATTGTCAAGCGCTGCCTTTATTCCATTAACGAATGCTCTTTTAATTCTGTTGATAAAACTGGCTTCCGGAATACTAATGACTGAAGTATGGCTAAACATATAATAAAGGCAATCGGTAAACGTTCTCGAGATTGGCAGAATTTCTTCAGTTAAAATTACTATTATAATAAATAGTAATAAATTGAAAGGTTTCGTAGTGTGTTTTGAATTTGAATTAATGGCCCTGGAAATTCTATTCAATTAATCTATTTTCCAAATGCGTCGATCCTTTTAGCCAATGAGCTGTGAACTTAGTGAAATTCATTTCAAACTTAGGAATTGCATTCAAGTGAAAATCAGCGGCAGAGAGAATACTTTTTCACAACATAGTGACGATTTCTGTAACCATTAGCTATAATACTTCCACAGGTGTCAGACATCGGGATAGTACCTATCTTAGTTACATCTACTTTCGGAGGCAGAACCAATTTTGAGTTAACCAGAAATTAGGATCAAAACATGGAATTCGTGCTTAGGAATACTTGAACGCCAATAAATTGACCATGATCGAGTTTGCTGAATTTTGGGCTCAGTCATTTCCGAGGTAGCTTTTAAGATGCTAACCCATTATAGTAGTATGGGGGTGCAGCCGCACCTGATGGACTAGCTGGTATTCTGCTCAAAAATCCGCCGACTGACTCTCAAACCGCAATAGTATTTATTTATTTATATTAAATGGCAGGATTTGTGATAATTATCATTAACCCTTTAGTTGACTTCGGGCCTCACAGAGAGGAGAACATCTTGATCACAAAATGTGAAGAGGGGGAACAGAAGAGTGATTCACAGATGTAAGAGAGAGACAAGTGAATAGACAGGGAAAGGGTGAGGTGAGTGCTGTAGAAGTTGATCAAATGTGTCATACGGTCGGGTCATGGTAGTTCGAAGTCAACTCCAGGTTTATAGTCGTTTTTGGCCGTATGAGTGTATGTTGACCTGGGTGCACCACGTGGAGATAAGTTTATCGCGCACCCCAAAACAATAATATAAAGATTAGTAGTTTTCTACCATACGTTTGTTGAATAAGATAAAATGTGTTGTAGTATATCCATTTACATATTATTTTCTCAACAAATCTGAGCCAACTGCAACCTAGTGATATCTATTTGGGGTACATGAATCAAAACTACATAAGAAAGACTTCCTAGCATTTCAGTGGGCAGTCTCACTTCCAAAAATTTACGAACAGAGGAATCAAATAAATGAAAACTCTCTTGACATTCTCGCGCTATAATCTACTTCCCCTCAAGCTTTCGATTGCATTTCTTTGCTATTCTCTGTGGATTAATTATTCAAAGGATTTGCTGTGGTAACATGGGATGAATGCCGATAAACAAAGCTAGAAGCCACAGTTTGTGCTTTGTCTCGGGATGAGTCATGTCCGAGGTGGAATGGATATATGAAATCTAAGGCTAGGGGGTGGGTGCCGGTAGATTTGGAACTTTAACATTCAGTGAAATTCATCTTGTAAAATACTGTTTCAAAGTACGTCAAACAGACCACGGCACGTAGAAGCATGGCGTCTCAGCGCGCGCACTTATAACCCAATAGGCATCCCATCACGAGACACCGACTGTCAAATCCTGTGTGGGGTCCTGCAAGGCCCAGAAATCAACGGTATTAATAAATCGACGTTTATGAATTCCCCTGAATTATCGACACATTGAAGCTCAACCAAAAACGTGACCGTGAGACAAAAGGCCGCGTTTTTTAAAGGCTAGTTGCAACTATGTGCTGCCTTAGTCATTTAAATAAGAATTCAATCTCGCCGAGTGAGAACTTTCTTATGCCTACTTTAAGTAGGAGATCATTTTTATTTAAAATTCAGACAACTAATAGTTGCGGTAATTGATCAACTGGCTAGGAAGTAGAAGTACTATTAATTCAGGTATCTGCGGGAATACATTGAACTTTTAAAAATTTATTTATTTTTATCAAATGGCAGCCGTTTTGATGGTTATCATTAGAACCTTTAGTTGACTTCAGGCTTCAAAGAGGGGAAGAAACATAAAAGTGAAAAAAGTTGAGAGGGGGGGGGGAACAGAAGAGTGTTTCAAAGATGAAGATAGAAAATTTAGAAAAAAATGTGATGTGAGTACTGTGAAAGTAGTCGAATATGACATGCAGTAGGGTCAGAAGTCAATTGTCGGTTTATAGACTACTTTGCCGTATGAGAATACGTTGCAAGGGAGCACCACGTGGAGGTAAGTCTATCGCACACCCCTACTTTTAAAAACCAATATCTGGTTGCTCTTAGTCATTAAAAATGTTAAATAAATGGACCGAGACGACATTATCAACTCCGCCATTTAATTCCTGAAATGTAAACTTTAAGTCATGACGCAAAGTACCATGCACATTAAGCAAAGTAAATAACATGGTGAATCCTAATTTAAATTAACTAGGACATTCCTGGAAATCTGGCTTTATCAAATAATACTACCAGATTCCCCCTTCTCTACCTACTATAGAAACCTACTTGTCTCAGCGCCTAGATGATTTCATATGACTATTTTTTCTTCCTTGTCAATTTCAATTGTTTACATTTCTTCTTACTAGTTACCATTGGCCAACTAACTTGAACCAATGCAATGAATCAAGATCAGCCAATTCACGATGATCATCAGGAGGTAGGTGAAGGTCAAGAGCTTACGCTCAAGGGGCACTTCAATGGAAGAGTAATCTACTAAATTCCAGTCAAGGGCTACATGGTAACCCCTGATCGGCTCATCCTAGCATAGCAATAAGTATAGATTAGATACATACCTCCACTGGGTGCACCCTGGGCAACGTATACTCATACGGCAAAGTCTATAAACCGGCAGTTGACTTCTGACTTCAAACTACCACGACCCGACTATACGTCATATTCGACCACTTTCACAGGACTCATCTTACCTTTTTCCCTGCCTTTGTGCCTGTCTGTCTCTTTTAATTCTGACAATCACTTTCCTTTTCCCGCTCTCGAATATTTCTCACTATGGTGTTCCTCCTCTCTGTGAAGCCCGAAGTCAGCTAAAGGGCTAACTAACTAAGTGAAGCCCGAAGTCAGCTAAAGGGCTAATGATAACTATCGTCTACGAAGCCCGAAGTCAGCTAAAGGGCTAATGATAACTATCAAACGCCTGCCACTTAAAAATAAATAAAGATTTTTTAAGCTGTTTACAGTTACTCCCAAAACCAGATTAATTGAGGAAATCACGTTCCGCTTAAATACCGACCAATCACACTCCGTCCGGTTTGTCAAGTGCATGACACACCCATCACCACTTATATCCTAGCATACCTTCCGCCGACCATTTCTCTACAGCTACCGATGCAGTAGGTAGCCATCACCTGACATTAATCACAAAGGCACAAACCTTGTTGATTGAACTAAACACAACAGAGAGAACTCAAAATCTGTTTCCCCACCTCACAAGCAGGAATGATGGAAGTATTAATTCTTATTATGCGATATAAAATTGGAGCAGGGCTAAAAATATATATATGTATATATGTGTATCAAGGGGAAGAAGGGGGGGGGGTATTAACAATAATATCGTCTATTGGGTATTAATGGATGAATAATATATATATGCACATCGGCACATATGAGTAGCAGCGGAACAGACATCATAATATCATCGTAAGATGCGCAAACACGATAAATGGCAATGGAGAAGTACACATGCCCGAGAAGAGTAAGATGTGGGAATATAAGTGTAATCTAGTGGATAAATCTTGTTCTTTTCTGGGGAGGGTGGGGGGGAAGAGGATTACATACGATACAAACAAGCGCGTAAAAAATAGAAGTATAGCTTCTTCTTAATCATATCCAACCGCGCCATCTAAATAGCAAGAAAAGGTGGGAATGATAATAATGACAAGAGGATATTGGATCAGAACTCTTAGATCCCTGAAATATTATGATGATCTCAAATAGGCGCTCTTAAGGGAGGGAGGGAGATTTTTGTGAAAGACTACGCAGAAAATAGAGGATCGAAGCAAGGCCAACACATAGGGGTAGGGGGAGAGGAAAGCGAGAAATAGTCCTGAGATAGTAAGCTGGGCGACAATTCATCCAGCTTTATCTGGATCTGGTTTTCCAGTGGCGCTGACTTGTTGTTGGGCTTCTTGTTGAGCCTTCTGTTGAGATAATCGGTGTTGTTCATTTCCAAAACGCTTCAGCACCCGTTTCACAGGATGGATGTGAGGTGAGGAAGACGGAGGCCGTGTATCTACCTCATCATCAGCAAATTTCGACTTCTGGTCAGGAAGAGAAGACACCCAAGTGGATGCACCACTTCCAGGCGTAGAATAGTCCCCTTCTTCACTCTTTCTTACACCGCCACCACCATCTTTCATAGTGGAGAGACCATGAAGGAGCAAGAGTTGTTGTTGTTGCTGCTGATTATGTGACACTGACGACTTGAGAAGGGTCAAATCACTACTATGAGAATGTGAATCGACCTCCATTTCGCCAGGCGGATGGAAACTGTTGGAATCACCTCCACCAGCAGCATCCGAGGGGGCCTGAGGTGAAAGCAAAGAGGGTAAAGGCGGTTTACGAAGATGATGATGGGAGTGATGGTGATGAGGATTTGAAGTTGCAGCAGAAGCTGAATCAACAAAATCCAACCCACTTCCGGGATCATTTCTTCTATCAGGTGGCTGAATGGTCATTTGTTGACCCGAGGGATCTAGAAATGCTCCAGCACAGAGAGCTTTCATCTTTTGCAATTCCTCGATCAACTGACGATTCTGATCCTGAAGTATGGTTACCTGACGCTCAAGACATCGAACGTACTCTTTCTTCTTTCGACGACATTCCCTTGCAGCTTCTCTACAAGCAGAATAAACTTTATATTAGACTACTCCAACGCGCAAACGTGTTCTAATTTAACCGAACAATATAATAAATTGAAAAGTACTTTATCAGACAGACAAAACTCGCAACTTTTATTCAATAGATATTTGACTACCTTCTCGTATACGTCTGCACGTTTTACAACGTCGAATAACTAAACTAGTTATAGCATTTAATGATACCGGGGACACGATAGTATAATTACAACCCCTCAAAATGAACTCCTGATCAAACAACGCTGAATACGATTGCTTAATATAAAGGTGTCAGTGTAGGTTTCCCCGCAAAACCACCAAGGACGTTTCTACTATAGACCCTGAACTATGCTAGCTGGCATAGGGTGGGAAGATCAGATCGACACGACAGAATAATGGTCTAGAGCAACTCAATCGCACGAAGTCCTGCTGGATGATAAGGATCACTGTGGTTGGGAGCTCCATCCCACTTGTGTGCCTTTTAGAGCTTCTCGGCCTATCTTAAAATATTCCCCTATAAGCCAAACGACTCTCATTATCTTCAATACCAATTTCTTTGAGCACAAAATGTGTTTCTATAAATACTTATTTACACCACGCTTACCACGCTAACTTTTACCATCAATAGCTAACTGTTAGCGAAGTAACAAAACTGCCCTTCGGAAAAAAATAAGTCACCACTTCAGAAGCGCGCGACATTAAAAGCTGACACAGATAAGGACAAAAAGACGCGTTTATAGGGTCTAGACAGTGGCACTATGACGGCGAAAACAAAATCGGAAAAGACGGTGGTGATGTCGCTACTGGATTTGGCAGTCGGCTATTTTGTCTAAAAGTTTGTCTTACTAAGCCCAAAATGAAAGTTTACGAAAGCACCAACTGATTGGCTAGACTTCAAGGTCGGAGGCAAAAAGGACATGAGGGAGACAGAGCCAATAGAGCGTGGCGAGACAACGAACACCCACCCGCCTAACTGGTAAGAGTGCACCCATGCGTACCCCTAACTAACGCAGACACTGGCTACTACGTTGCTTTCTCGAGCTCTCGAGGAAGCCTTGACTATATCGACAGTCATGGTAGCAGCAACAGTAGCACGTGTTTGCAAGTGTACGGATGTGGGTGTTTAATGTGCAGACGCAAGACACGCGTGTTCCGGATTGTGTTAAAAACACACGGAGAGAGAGTATTAATTAGAGTTGGTTAGTTGTGCGAGTTTCCTACTTTTGGCAAGAGAGGGAATCATGTTCTCACAGTGTTTTTTTTTCACTAGACACTTGACAACATGACACCATTCGACAAAATGTGATCTGTTCTATTACTTCATAACGCTCGGGTATCACTTGGAGATTTCGTTTAGCTGTTAATCTCGTCAACTTGTTGCCTTTATCAACTGATACTCCAACTTGTCATATGACAGGTACTCATTGGTGCTCTACCAGTGATGTAGATGACCAACCATAATGACTAATTGCGATCAATAATAATGGCAGAAAGCGAGTTTCTAGTAGGGGAGATCATAAGAAAACCTCTCTCACTGCACTTGCCTTAACGGCTTTAGTACCCATCTTGAATGTAATGATGATTTTTGGTGGAGGGACGATTCAACCATATTCCACAAAATTGGTAGGAGGTACAAGGGGATATGAGACATACGATGGATAAAATCCAAGTCTGGCAGACAAGAGAAATATATCGAAAGCGAGGCAGAATATGTACACCCACAATGTGGTCACAAAATCCGAACTAACTAACCACTTTTTCCTTTATGAAAAAGCTGCTATGCTTCTACAGATAGGTATTCACAGGTAAACAAGAAAGGTAATAACACAAAAAGATCGAGATAAACCGCTTCTTGACCTACCAGCTGATTGTCGTGCATTCTCTCTCTCTCACTCTCTTCACAGATTTACGGACAACCGAACGCACAAATGTAAGATGAAATTCATCGTGTCAAGCATATATCGCTCTGAGACAGTCTAGCATCTTTAATAGTTCCGAGTGCTCAAACTACGTCGTTTATATTTTTACCATCGTTCACTCACACGGTTATACCTGAAATCTGGCAGACCTTTTCTTTTCCTAACGATATCACACGGAAGTAACTGATTTAAGTAACGAAAGTGTTTTTTTTGCATAAATGAGAGGGGGAAGGGGGCAGTAGTTAGAAATGTTTGAGACTGCACGACTAGAGATCCAATCCAATGAGAGAAGTGGTTGATAGGAATGACTATCACTGACTAATAAATTTTCCCCAAGGAAATTATATGTTATAACTCCTTAGGCCCCGATGAGAGTTGGAAAGGCGTTCTTAGATGGGTATTGGAGTCATGAAGAAGGCTTTTAACTATGACTTGGAAAAAAGCAAGATCACAAAACAGGAGGTATAAAATGAAACACTACTATAATGATCCTTGATCCCCGTCTCATATAAAACGTTGATATTGGAACAGGACTATCATGACTCATCGAGAAATACAGAAAATAGGGAAAATGACTTAAGTCAAAAAATTGAAGGGTGCGGAGATGTGTAGGACTTATTGGTGTCTATAACAACGAATAGGGAAGCAAGAAGCACAACAGCCCGTTTAGTCGCTGAAAAAAGGATAAAGAAACCGACTAACACATAACACCATATATGTATGCCTAAGAGCACATCGCACATTGAGTATTCAGTAAAGACCACTCAACCAACCACTGAGTTGTGCGCAGCACAATTGCCATGACCACATGTGGTAATTACTAAGGCAATACAATAGGAGCGCCTAAATAAGTTGGTGCAAGATCACTTGGTTACAGAGGTGACAATGAGAAGACTCAGTAAGACACCCTTACTCTTCTTACAGGTCCCATTGAGCGGTTATTTGAGGTTTCAACGAAGAGGCGTATGGACCATTAAAAATAAACTAACAAAGATGCAAATTTAACCTGTCAGAATTCAGCTCATTAATGATAGCTCCCCAAGTTCGAAGGTTTGACTTCTTACGTAAAGCTAGTATTGAACATCCTTCTTGAATTGTTGGTGTAATTCTCTTAAAATCAATACAACACCTGGTTACCTTGAGCTGTTCCTTGGGCATTTTAGTTGTCCTTTAACACAAATCAACCTATAGGTCAAGTAAAAGGCGTCTAAATATTCATGATCGTTTCAAGTAGACAACACGCATGCTGAGGTTCAGAAACCAAAAACACTACACAACCACAGAGATAGTGAAGAATCTAAACTGAAGCATGTGGTCAGATCAGTGTCAAAACTGGCATACAAAACCCAAGACCATAGGTTCCATAGTAAAATCCCGAGAGCAGTAAGAGATTAAATGGGAGTTCCTAGAAAAAAACAGGAACTTCAGGTAAAACCCTAAACATCGCGTGCGTTTATAATTTGCTCAATCATTTCAATTGGAAGGATTTAATTTTCAACCTCACTGTAAGGATCCGAACCTCTGAATCATTGTTGTTTGCCAATATACAGAAGAAACTTAAAATAGAACAACGAAATCGTTTCAATGCTTACCTACCTACAACTCTCCTTAACGCATACACAATTTAGCCGATGAAAACTACTTGAAAAATACTTCATTTTAAGGCTTTAAAGCACACCATATAACAACAGAGATTTCAAATAAAAATTAATCAACTACTAACATCAACGACCTCAGTCTTATTGGTAGTCTGATCGCAAGAGAGTAGAAAATAAATGACTAAGTACAGATGCGAAGAATATGCAGTGCACTGCATAGTTATCAAGGGTCAAACACACCCTTTTCACATTTTCTTTCAGTAAAACTAAATCACAACAAAACACCAATGACTATTTATTAATTCGACTTACGGGAGTGGCAATGGTAAAGCAGAGAAAGCAAATGACAGTTAAGTACCGAAGCACAGTTACTCGCAGTCACTTAGTCTTAACCACACACAAGNTAAACCCCCCCCCCCCCCCCCCCCCTCCTCCACCTCCCCTAACTCCAAGAACACTGGCATTTTAAGAGAAAAGCCACCGTAATAAGTATAAGTAGCCGAACACGAAATTTGCACATACTGAGTATGCGTGCAGTATGTTTAACACCCACATACACACATAAACGCACATAATTCGCAGTGCGATGATTGGCTAAGTGGTTTGAGTCACGTGACTCCTGTTGGCTCGCTGGCAAGCCCTGTTTGCCTACTTACTAGTTTGTTCGTTTGTAGATACTAATTTATTATTAAGTAAACTTGTAACTTCTTACCTATTTTTGAGGAGCCGTTGCTCTCGCTTGTTGTTCGAATCGTCGTGTAAAGCAGCACTAGAAGCAGAACGTCCACCGGGATTGCTGTAGCGGCTTGTGTCGGCTGAACTGGCTGCTGACGTGATTGAGTGGGTAGGGTGCGACCCAGGTTGTTGTTGGGGCAACCCGCCTGTTTGAGGGAAGAGATGGGGAGGCCCGGTCTCATTTCCTCCCGGATTAGGACCCCCCTGAGTTGCTTGCTGTTGTTGGGAGAAGCTACCACCACCTGAATTGGTGCTTATAGCTGAGAGGTAGGCTGGCGACTGCGGTTGGTGGTAATGATTGCTTTGCATCTAAAATTATTAAGTAAATCTAAATTAACATGTTTTCTAGTAGGGAGCGAAGTGTGCTGGGACTCATATTGCAATAACAAACGTATTTGGGGGTAAAAATGCGAATAATTAAGTTTTACCAAATACCCATGTCGTGACAAGCCCATATGTGAGTTGTAAAAGCGGTCAAAGGTGAGTACAATCAAAATTTCCTGAATACATGATGATTTCACGAATTAACCCTTGCAAATACGTATGAAGGGAAACAAAGCCTTCTCAAGGTATCAATTAAGAATGGATGAACATACCTTTGGCGAGAATCCAGCAAATTTTGAAGGGGTCAGAAACGAGACAAAACGTAGAGTAAATGACGCAACCAAAGAGAAAAATGAAAAATTGAAGAGATATAGTGTAGTTATAAGGCGCCATGGATAGCCAATAATAGGAGCGTGTAAACAACAATAGCCCCCCCCCCCCACCACTCTCGAGTTATAGTGCAACATAGTAGCGGTGGTTCAATAACAATGTGCCACCATTATAATTATGATAATTACGAGAAAAAGGTATGGTATAAAGTCAACGACCCAGTTATGAGACGGTTTGAAGGAAGGGCTTAATGGACTGTCAATTAAGGTAGAGACAAGAGGGACTGCGCCATCATTACATTATACTGAATTACAAAAATCTGTGAGGGCAAATAAGGCACGTACCTGCTGACCTAGAGCATTGACAATGCTAGCAGGTAGAAGCATAGCATTTGTAAGGCAAGTTGAGGCTGAGGGAATATCAGATTGTCCTCCCGAACCAACAAAAGGAGGGAGAGGGTTTGTGGGGTCAGCGCTACTACTAGAGTTAGGAGGAAGGCTAGGAGGTTGGAAGCCCAAATCAGACCCATTTCCTCCGCCTGAACCAGGAGTCCCGTCAACAGGTTCATAGCTGACGGAAGAAGCGTGAGGTGGGCGGAAAAAAGGACCAAGGGAGGGTGATTGGGTGTTGTCAGAGGTAGAGCGGAACTCATTGTTGACAGCAGCAGCTGCGGCAAAATGGTGCTCACCTTGATGTCCGGAGGATGAAGAACTTGGACAAGTCGAAGGAGGAGACGAAGAGGCGGCCATAGCCATAGCGAGAGCAGCTTGAAATTTTGAACTGGCAGAAGGAGAGTGTTGACGAGCGGGAATGAGAGAGGCCGCGGCGGCGGCAGCTGCAGCTGCTGCAACGGAATCCTCGGAGGCGGAAGAGTATCGGGATTTGACAACACCGGGGGGAAGATTTACCGACTTATTACGCGGATTTTGACTATCTGCAGCGGCTTTAAGGAACATTGCTGCAGAACGGTAAGAATTAAGAAGATCAAACGAGGATATTGAATTGTCTGAACCAGATACATGGGGGAGGTGGGCGTTAGGAGATTTGGTTTGCGATTTTATGGAATCTTCATTCTGAGCCATTTGACTAGAATAACAAATTAAAAATAGTAAGATAAAGAATAGATAAACTATTGAAATCAAATAAAGTGTACTATAACATCACGTTAAATTCAACAATGTAATTATGAGGAAAATGGTTCGCAAATTAATCGCACAGAAAAGTAAAATTGACTAATACAAAATATTAAAAATAAAACCATTCAATGATATCATAAAAATGCTAGAAAACACTAAGTGATACATTATCCATTATTAAAAAATTTACGTTAAATAAATGGAAAATAGATTACCTTCTCCGTTACTTCAACTCAGTCAAAACAATGTGAGCCAGAAGCAAGAGGCATGACGATCCAAATTGAGACCCTTCATCAAGACGCCTTCATTACGTCCTTAAATAATTTAAACAAATTTTTAAAAGAATTAATCGAATGTTGATATTGGTTTTTACATTAGCACAAACAAAATTATCTATTTTTTGTGAAGCTTGGAAATCTTTCGAAATCATTTATAGTGTATTCATGTCACTTATGGAGTATGTTGCGTTATTAAGGTAAAAATGAAATGATTTCGCAATATATTAAGAAGACGTTATTTAGATTGAATGAGTTTATAAAATTGGCTTGTATTCCAATCTTGGTTCGTAAATATAAGAAATATACTTAATTAAAAAAAACAGTTAAACAATGTGTGGATGTAAATATGATTTATACAAAAGTGTAGGGCTCAAAATTAATATTCTATTTATACTGGTAAAATGCTGAAGTGATTTTTCACGTTACTCGGGCCTCCAACAATTTTGATTGGTAAAGATATTGCTTTTTTGTTACTACACCTGAACGGATATTCAAATAGTTGGAGTAAATCAAGTCACTCTTGTGAACAGATCAATGTGATGGTGAGCTGAATGCCACCCCAATCTGATTATAATTAGTTTGAAGTTAAGTCTCGCTATCGATGTCTGTCAGATGCTTGGCATTTGTTAACATATTACTGTCAAATCGAGCGCACAGAAGCTCGAACGATTGCGAATACTATTGTCGAGTTCTTTCTGAAAGGTTTTCATTTCTAATCACAAGTGCTTATCAATATGTTCCTTCTTCAGAGATCTAATTAATTGTTATTGTCCTTATTTATTTATATATTTTTGGTAATATTTCATATCAAACATTAACTTCTCCTCCCACTTAATACTAAAAGACTTCAGTGTACTAATTAATGTATTTTTCGTTAAGTTTCTGATTGTAATTTCATAAAATTTGCCTTTTACTGTATGCAAATATAGATAAAAAACCTTTTAATAAAGAACTAGCTGCCTTGAATACCAGACAATTACTGCTATAATGAGATGAAATGTACTGTCTGATGTTATGGAAGTGATCACTGTACGAGGTGGCACATTGTTAAGTCCCTCACCTATCTACAGCAGTTCAGGGGTCGTTGAGAAAGATACCAAACTTATTTATAGAAATGTTAATTTTAAGTTAGAATGCTTTTCTTGGCATCTTTGATTGTCAATATCGGCGTGTAATGAATGGCAGCTATGCATGTTTCAACGCACTAAACAGAACTCATGCGGCAAGAAGGTTTTGGAGCGCCATATCATAACGATTTGCTAATTAGCACAAAGTATCTATATTGAAGACAAAAAAGATATATTTATATAAAAATAAGTCAACTTAAATTTTCATATAGGTTTCAGCGAAGTTTAAAATTGTTCAGTACTAATTTCATGATTCATTCAATTTAAAATACTCCGTAATCGATTCAAGCAAGTGGAATGAAAATGAGCTGCACCATTTTCCATTCAACCTCGTGCGCGAATAGGCTCCCTTGTAATCCTGAGTTTACGCACTGTAAATCGACTTTTCATTCACGCACCACCATTTATGAAAAATTGACGCCTCTGCACTATAGGGTTAAAGATTGAAATGCCTAAACCGAAACGTCATACTAGAAATGCGAAAGAATACAATTGGGGATTCTATGTTATATCAATTTTTCTACGCTTTTATTTTGCAATAACCCATTGTCCTGGGTACATATTCCCCGACGAGTATTTTCAGTCGGTAGAATTTGCTACGCACGAAATCTATCCGAATTCTTGCAGTCTGATAACGTGGGATTTTAAGCCAACTGGGTATGGACCAGTCCGTTCGCGCTCCAGCATCTATCCCTTTGTTCATCTGCCAATTAATATTGTTAATAAGGTGTATCCTTCACCACCTGACGGCAAATTGTCCGGAAATGATATGATCAATCGTATTCTTATGCCTGCTCGTATGTTTACTACAATTTTGTCGTTTATTCCTGATGCTTTCGTCTTTTTCATCAGCAAGAAGTTAGAGAACTTGAAGGATAATCGAGCGCCTCTGTCTCTCCTCCTATATTCCTCCATGACTTATGGTGGTCTATTGTACAATAGTCGTACGTTGAGCAACAACTGGGAAACTATACTTGTTTGCATCTTCTGCTATCTATCCCTTCACTCCTCATTCCTTAATATTCTGCTTGAGGCAGCTATCGGTGCTTATGGCATATTTTTACGATCTTCGTTTCCGATCTTTGTTACCCCCTTTATCTTACTTCAGCTCTACAATATTTCAAGGTCGACTCATCGAATTGTCTACCTAACATGTATAATACCCATTGCCGTACTCATATCATGTGTGGTGTCTGGCCTTTTAATTTTCTTTGATACGGTCTATTATTCTGGAAATCAAGTGCCGAAACTGAGTGATTTCATTATAACACCATTGCGTTTCCTCAAATACAATTCTGTGCCTGAGACATTAGCTAAACACGGACTGCATCCTTGGTACCATTACCTTATTGTTCATTGGCCCCTAATTCTAACTCCTATTGTTGCTCCCGTGGTACTGATTCCCCCAACAAGGAGAGGATATGAGTACAGACTTCGATTCACACTGTGGCTCTCAATAGTACTGCCAACACTATTTCTC